AGGTTATGTCGGTAAAGTAGAAATCACAAACCAGTTAAATCGGTAATTTGAGGTTGTTTTTAAAATTTTAGATTCTTTTAACGAAAATATTAAAATAAAACCCTTTTTTTCATGTTTATCAGTTTTTAATCACTGTCTTTAAGTTACTTCACATTGTGGTTTGTAGTTTATTCAACTAAGAGTCTTATTTAATAAAACGACGAAAAAGGTAAAGGTACAATTCCTTGTAAAAAACATAATAAGATTATATAATTGTATCAAGAATTCTTCCATTGTTCGATAGCCCCAATTGCATCAGACTTTCCTGTAACTTTCCCATCTTTTTCCACACTCAAATATTTATTATAACCCGATTTCAAAGCAAGTTGACATTCATTTAATGGAACTGCTGTAAATTTTCTTCAGGTGCTGGTCTTTCACCTTCATCGTGCGAGGCTCCTAAAATCCATTACCCAAAGCGCGCCCATAGGTGTGTTTTCAAAATTCAATTGCTACGGTTCCATTTAAATCATTAAATTTCGTTGCTTGCCAATAATTACCATGCTCGATAGTGTCTTGATCAATTTTTGGACATCCTCTTGTTTTTATGTTTACGCTTTTTACCTCTTTTGTGAAAATAAAATACAATAATTTTAAGTCAAATTTTTTTGAGGTTAGGTTACTTACTTTTGCTTTCTCCTTTTAATACCAGTTTTCCAAGACGTACTTTATCATATTCGGACATTCCTTATTATTTTTTTAACTAATTTAAAAAGATTTAATAATTATTTTGAGCGATAAATATTATTTTTATTATTATTGCCATAATAGATTCAAGTTAGGTTATGTCGGTAAAGTAGAAACAAGTTAAATTGGTAATTTGAGATTGTTTTTAAAACTTTTAATTTTTTTTAACGAAAATATTAAAATAAAGCCCTTTTTTCATGTTTATCTGTTTTTAATCACTGTCTTTAAATTATTTCACATTGTGATTTGTAGTTTATTCGACTAAGAGTCTTATTTAATAAAATGACGAAAAAGGTAAAGGTACAGTTCCTTGTAAAAAAAAATAATAAGATTATATTCCATATTGTTATATAATTGTTCCATAGCCCCAATTGCATCAGACCTTCCTGTAACTTTCCCATCTTTTTCCACACTCAAATAATTATTATAACCCGATTTCAAAGCACATTGACATTAATTTATTGGAACCACTATAAGTCTTTTTCAGGTGCTGGTCCTTCACTTTCATCGTGCGGGGCTCCTAAAGTAAAACTCCATTATCTAAAGCGCGCACTTAGGTGTGTGTTCCAAATTCAATTGCTATGGCTCCATTTCAATCATCAAATTTCCTTGCTTTCCAACAATTACCATGCTCGATAGCGTCTTGATCAATATTTGGGCCTTCCTCTTGTTTTTTATGTTTGTGTTTACGCTTTTTATCTCTTTTGTGAAAAGAAAATACAATAATTTTAAGTCAAATTTTTTTGAGGTTAGGTACTTACTTTTGCTTTTCCCCTTTTAATACGAGTTTTCCAGGACGTACATTATCATATTCACACATTCTTTATTAACTTTTAAGTAATTTAAAAACATTTAATAATTATTTTGACCAATAGACTATTTTTCTNCCATCTTTTTCCATCCTCAAATAGTTATTATAACCCGATTTCAAAGCAAGTTGACATTCATTTAATCATTTAAGTCCTTCACCTTCATCGTGCGGGGCTCCTAAAGTAAAAGTCCATTGTCTAAAGCGCGCACTTAGGTGTGTTCTCCAATTTCAATTGATATAGCTCCGTTTAAATCATCAAATTTCGTTGCTTTCCACCAATTACCATGCTCGATAGTGTCTTGATCAATTTTTGGAACATCTTGTTTTTTATAGTATTTTTTACCTCTTTTGTAAAAAGAAAATACAATAATTTTAAGTGAAATTTTTTTGAGGTTAGGTTATTCACTTTTCCCCTTTTAATACGAGTTTTCCAGGGCGTACTTTGTCATATTCAGACATTGCTTATTAATTTTAACTAATTTAAATAGATTTAATAACTATTTTGACCGATAAAGATTATTTTTGTTATTATTCCGAACACATTCAAGTTAGGTTATGTCGGTAAAGTAGAAACAAGCTAAATCGGTAATTTGAGGTTAATTTTCAAAATTTAGATTTTTTAACTAAAATATTAAAACAAAGCCCTTTTTTCATGTTTATTTGTTTTTCATCATTGTCTTTAAGTTACTTCACATTGTGGTTTGTAGTTTATTCGACTAAGAGTCTTATTTAACAAAAGGACGAAAAAGGTAAAGGTACAATTCCTTGTAAAAAAAATAATAAGATTAAAGATTAAATTATTGTATCGAGAAATGACGATTCATTTTTGCGTTTTTTTTATCACGACGAGAGATCTAAGGCAAAGGGAGAGAGGAGGAAAGGGTTGCCCTTGAGGGCTGGGACCGTGGCACAGAAGGAAACCGTAGATAGAGGAAATTAAATTGTAAACTAATTTAACAAAAAATATATAAACGAGGAATCAGTGGTTTCTTAATGTTAAAATTGATGATAATACAACTATAGCCGGTGTTATTATTATTAAATTACTTTTTTTGCTTGTTTGCTGTTTGTTGTAGAACCCGTCTTGTATATTTTTATTTATTTATTCGGTGTAGTAGTAGTACGGTTTTGTCGCAGTTGGATGCACAGATGGTGGAACGCGGAGCACTCAAAACTCGCTACCCCCTTTGCCGGAGACCGTGACGCGATGATACGACACATTTAAGTAATTAGTTAGGTAAGTCCATTGATGGCACACAAAACGTGCGCGACTCAACTAATATCAGACTTATCTCGAGACGCTTTCAACCATTCTACAAACTCATCCAACATTACTGGCCCTAAAACAAGTGTTTTAGAAAATGTTTAAAAATATAATTGAAAAAAGGATACTTACATGCTCCATCTACATCATAATTGGATAAGTCTATATTGATAGTACGCGAAAATTCCAATATATTACACCACTGATCCTTATTGATCACCTTGTACTTGCTCTGTTCGAGAAACTGGCTAAATTGGGCGTATAGCGGCCAATGTTTGCCCAAGAGCAACTGAAGCATAGCTTTGGCCGTTTCCATATCCATGCTGCGTTGATCTTTATCTCGAGCAAAATCGTACGCGTACCGATAAATCGCCTTAAACGAATGCTGATCATTTAGCATACAGCGTAACTGTTCGAGACGACCCTGAAGCTTTTGGATTGAATCGCACTGAAGATCCGTCAAGCCTCGAACCCACTCCTCCTGACTAAAAAAACCCATTTGCCGCGCCTGCATCCGATACGCCAATACCAGCATGACGACGTTTTCCGGTTCGACGCCAATATCCTCGCAAAATTTCTCCATACCCTCGGGGCCCAATACTTCCGGTTCATCAGGACATGTGTACTCTCGAAACCATGTCAGGCACTTTTTCTGGCTGAATGAAGAGACCTCGTCCAATCGTGAATATCTTCGAGAACTAAAAATTAAAAAGGAATTTTTGATCCACCCTGTACATACATCAATAAAAATTACACATTTGAGGTCTACTTGTCATTATTTTATTCATAAATTTTAACCTAAATCTTAATTGTTAATAAAAACGACAACGAAATGAATAATATTTTACTAAAAAATATTAAAAGAAATTTTTGATTCACCCTGTATATCAATAAAAATGACACATTTGTGGTTATGTTTATTTGTCATTATTCTATTCATAAATTTTAACCTAAATCTTAATTGTGAATAAAAACGACAAGAAAATAAATAACATTTTACTAAAAAATATTAAAAGAAATTTTTGATTCACCCTGTACATCAATAAAAATGACACATTTGAGGTTATGTCTACTTGTCATTATTTTAT